GGCACTTCCACCACCAAGTTACCCGGCTCCCACCATTGGCTTGTGTACCCTACCCTGAGTCATTTCCGTTGAACCGCAAAACCAGTCTGAGATTTGTCTTGACTAAAAGTGAAAGCAAGCACTAAACTTAGAAAGCCTTGTGCTGAAGCTTTATCTACATATTGGTGTAGTGTTTGTCATATGCTTTACAGTACTCCATTTTAGGCTCTCGAGATGAGCCGCTGTTTGTCCCGAATTCTAAGCATGGTGTTCATAGATATCAGGCATTTTGCACTCGCCTAACTGCAAGTGCCGACCGGTTTCGTAAACTTAATCCTCCAGTCCTTGGGTTTGAGCCATACTACTGCCTAACAAGTGCGTGATGGACAACTTCCCTAGAGGACAACGCCTGACATTTAGCTCTTTCAGATTCGGCTTCAATGACAGAATGGATCGGGATTCACTTCGATTGATGGCGTGTCGACCGATTGCGTGGTGTAACCCAATCGCACAGCAGATGCTACAAAACGAAACCTAGGGGTGCATCCCCATATGCTCCAATCATACAGAGATTGGCTTTATGTGGAGCGCCTTCAAAATACTGACATGCACTTTACTTCGAGGACATTACAAAATTGGTCAGCCACACTATCATGACAAATAGCAAGTTCTCACTCAAAGTATTGTGGATCAAATTATCGAGCCTGATAAACCGCTTTAGTAGTAATTTCATCATTACTTTTCTAAGCACTACGAATATGGATGACTCAATTGATCGTCACGCTTTATGGTTCTGCTTGCTGACAAAAGGACTACTAGAACAACCCACTGCCACTTCTCAAGTGCTATGCATTTACGTCTTGCACAGAGGAAGTCCTCTAAGTTCGCTATTGCTACCTCCAGTGCAGAGTAGATGAGCATTTGTCTATGTTACTGTTCTACTATGATTGGGAATGTCTTTTGAGAGCTCTGAGAAGATCACAAATGTTTTGTATAAAGCTTCATCCTAGTAATGCGACGACCAATTAAAACTATGTTGGTAGCATCGTCTTGCAGATAATCACAGGCACAGAACCACTTTTGGATAGGTTGGGTATTTAAACATTTGTGTAAACATACTCTTTACTCTCAAGAAATGCAACCTCTTCTAGGACGCGTTCTTCTTTCTTGTATTCAACCTCCAAGTATTATGCAACGCCATAGCACTACAAAGCATGTGACAATATTTATCGACGCTCTGCCCTAGAAAATGTGTACTAAAACTCCCCAGAAACTATAGACCGATTACACCATGTGCATCGCATACACAAAACCTATAACTTATTGTTTCCTAGTCTATAAATTTTTTGTTTCATAAGCATCCTATTCTTCGTGAACTGCTAGGAAATGTTTGATCACGTTTTCTTTCCCTTTAACTTTTTTCCCTTTGTTACCGTTTGTTCCGACACTATGGTGAAATGATTATCCTTAAAGCAGAATGCAATTTGGGAGGAAATTTCTGGTTGATGTGTGGCGGCAAACGGAAGCAAGCTTTCTTGCTGTTGATGAGCAAGCCGGATGCACTAATAGTTAAGAATGAAACCTGTATCTAATGCTCTGGCCAGTTCCCTGCATAGCGTCGCGTTGCCAAGAATATTATTATTATTATTAGTAGTAGTATTAGTATTATCCTTAGCATCATCAGCATTATCGAGTGCTGTGTCATGTTAAATCAATGGTTTAGTATGTTCACTATGATTATCACTCTTATTGTAGTAACCGAAGGACAGCTCCGCCCACGCAGAAAGATGATGACACTAGCAAAATTATGCCATTATTCGCACCATCGGTAGGAACTCAGCGTTTATCGTCCAGCGGCATTTGAAAAAATTACTGTAATGTCTCCCTTACTTAACATAACAGCTTGCAACACCAAGTTTGTTGTGGTTAGGTCAATCGCCGTGCCTTGAGAAATGTGGTCATTTTTAACCTTTCCTACCTGCGCCAAATCATATTGATCGGTTATGACCTATGCTTGTCATACGTGCCTTTCTGTTTGCTCCCGAAGGACTAAACTGGAACAGTTCTCCCGGTTAGCAGAAAAGATAACATATGAGTGTTGCACGATTCACTTCCGGAAAATTTTCTCTGCATATTTCCAAATGCATACTATAGGATCATGAAAGGAACGCAGTTAAAATGGCAAATTAACCAAACTGTACACACCCACATTCATGTCACTTTGTCATCTGTTCCCGGCCTGCTGCCACAGCAGGGCCAGAGTCACAACTACGTCTTTCTGCACACACACAGAGTTGGGCCAAGTTATTTGATAGCCACGGCCTCAGCATATCGTAAAATTAGGGGGTTCATTGATGTATAGATAACACAGAACGCATGCTCAGGGTCTACACTGTGGTTGTCAGCCAGCAGGTGGCGGGCGATTGATGAAGCTGGTTGTTTGTATGGAAATTCATTTCGCTTCATTGGCTGCGCATTCGTGGTGGTGGACGTGGCTAGCTGCGGAACGCGTTTACTCTCTCACGCCGGTATGTGCTCCGCGAACCTCACCCTCAAGTGTCGTTCTCTCATGCCAACATATTCGGCCTTGTAAATACATGTAACTTGGTCAACGATGTATGAACGGTGGGACGGCGACAGTTGGGGGTTTAACCGATGGAGTAGGGATACGATTCGTTGTGTAGATGAGTACTGGTTCTGCTGCAGGTTATACGTGCTCCACTGCGGATTCCAATTGGCGTTGAAATCCTGGCACACGTCGTCCACCTTGAATGGCAATTGCAAGGTTACTTTTATTTTCGATGCCGTGGGCACACATTTTTTGTATTTGTCGGCACTTAACTGAGCGATGAAAGACGGTGGGTACCCATTGTCTATGAGTGTGCTGGTTATCAGCCGCACCACATGATCCAGTGTGTTAACCGTGCATATTTTTCTAGCTCTTTGGAACAAAATCTTCACCAGACCATTTTTTACCACCTGGGGACAAAGCTGTAGAAGTTCAACTACTGTCCCTTCCACGTTGGCTTGCGAAAAACTGATCTGCGTACTGAACCGTCACGACTACTCTCTATCAGGATGACCAGGAACGGCAGCGTATCATGCTGTGCGAGCTTCGTTTTCACCCTACTGTGTCTGGTGAAGACTATTCAACACGACTAGAAAAATATGTACTGCTAACATACTGGAACATGCAGTGCGGCTGAAAACCAGTACCCTCATGGACAATGGGTACCCACCGTCTTTCATCGCCCAGTTCAGTGCTGAGAAAGAGAAAAAAATGTGTGCCCACGGCACCGAAAATAAAAGTAACCTTGCAATTGCCATTCAAGGGAGACGATGTGTGCCAGGATTTCAACGCCGACTGAAATCCACAGTGGCGCACGTATAACCTGCAGCGGAACCAGTGCTCATCTACACAACGAATCGTATCCCTACTCTATCGGTTAAACCACCACTGTTGCTGTCCCACCGTTCATACATCGTTTACCAAGTTACATGTATTTACAAGGCCGAATATGTGGGCATGAGAGAAAAATTGAGGGTGAGCTTCGCGGAGCATACACCGGCGCGTTGATTAAACGCGTTCCGCAGCTAGCCACGTCCACCAACTCGAATGCGCAGCCAATGAAGTGAAATGAATTTCCATACAAACAACCAGCTTCATCAATCGCCCGCCACCCGCTGGCTGACAACCACTGTGTAGACATCGTGCATGCGTTCCGTGTTATCTATACATCAATGAACCCCCTAACTTTACGATATGCCGAGGCCTTGGCTATCAGACAACTTGGCCCAACTCTGTGTGTGCAGAAAGATGTATTTGTGACTCTGGCCCTGCTGTGGTAGCAGGCTGGGAACAGATGACGACGTGAATGTGGGGGTGTACAGTTTGGTTAATTTGCCATTTTAACTGCGGTCCTCTCGTGATCCTATAAATTCACACGTCTGTAGTATACACTTGAAAATATGCAGAGAAAATTTTCCGGAATTGAATCGTGCAGCACTCATGTGTTAACTTTTCTGCCAACAGTTTCCTCGGGGTTATTTGTCTCAAGTGCTCTCCTTGTTGGGGTCAACACATGGTGACCAGCATGACAAAATGGCTCCCTTTATAATCATCGCCTACTACACGCGGCTAGCCGAATAACCTCCCTATGGTGTCAGTTGTGTGGTTCGTGTTAATCCAGTTTCAGCGAATAGTTCGCCGGCAGTGTTCCAGGACGTGGTGGGTTTTCGCCTGACAAGTGTTCACCCCATAAAAATCCACAAAGGTCTGTTTAACAACACTACGACGTGGCGGATGGGACTCGCCAGTAAACAAAGTTACTCTTGTGTTATCCAATTGGAAGAGTTCCATTGATCTCTTCATACGATGGCGAACACAGCTAACAAACTCAAGAATTCAGTCACACTTCACAAGTTCACTCACAATGCATACTAACACACAAATGCAATACGTTACTATTTATTAAGTCATATTTTGTATAATTGACTACCGTAATAAACTCACGGTCTGCAAATTTCCACACTACGTTGCATCCACATGGACACAAACAATTGCCGTTTCACCTTTGATGTTATGCTGACATGTACTTTCCCCATTTATGCATACAACACAATGTGCCTACTGAGAAACCGTCTGGGAAAGTTTGAGTATGCCTGATTAGACCTGCCTAGACACTATCGAGAATAAACTGTTTATTTATTTAAAAACTGCGCCATTCTATCTGACCTCTGAACGCTTGGCGCTCAGTCGGATTCAGGAAAGGAATTGTGTACAGCTTTACTGAAACTCAGTTGTATGGTGTTTAATCTGAACCAAGGTGAAGGACAGACAGATCAACTGCAAAATATTCATTTCTTGGCCTAAGCTTTATTCATTTTCTTCCGCAAATGTTACTGCTTTCCTACGATTATCCATTAGTTAATCTACTAACGATGTAACGATGTATGCACATGATGTTTATATGGTGACACGCCCGCTCTGTTAAATATAAAGCATCATATAATGCGCTCACCTCTTCTCCCCAGTCTTTCCCCCAGCTATTCTTCACAGTCCAAAAAGGCGTCTCAAGTATACTGGTGCCAAAGCCGACCAAAAGGACAGCATGATTAATGCCAGAAGACGGACAGTTCTGGTCCAGTGGGTCTAGGATACCACCAGTATAGAACTGAAAAACAAAATGGAACAACGGTGCAATACGTGTGAAAAAGTAATGCTTCGCAACTCCCATGGGATGAAAAAGAATTAAGAACTGAAAATACCATGATGAAATGATAAGGTACGTAGCTCGTGAACTACTGGGATGAAGACCGCAACAAAATAACAACTAAAATCCCGCTACTCACTAGTAACATAAAATAAATGGCCTCCCCTAGTCCCAATGGTATGGAGATAGCGTCTAGAGAGAGGACGTCATCACCTCGCAGGCTAGCCAGTGTTAGTGAGAGTGGAAGATAGGCGGTGCTATATCAGTTAGATTTCAAATTATGTAGCCCAGCTAACGCACCCCATGGTTCAGTGGCTTAAGCTGGTGGCTAGTTGGCGTCTGCCTCTAGCGGTGATGGGTTCAATCCCCGGTAGGGGACCGATGGAATGCGCACTGCTGACGAGCCCCAATAGGACGAAGCACGTCTGGTGCTTTTCCGGACTAGGTTATGCTACGTAGCTTGTGAACTACTGGGATGAATAAAAAAATTACAACTAAAATCCTTCTACTCAAGAGAAAGGAGAAGCGTTTTACTAGACTCATTGCGTTGCATTTTGGCGTGTGTAACAGGGCCGAGTTGCTCACGCTTTCACGTAGACGTCCAAATGGTTGGTATTTTTAAAACATAATATTTGCTTGCTTCATGTAATCTTCTGTATATAGTGGCTGTAAAATGAAATGCTAACAGGGCATTGCTACGCTGAGTTGTTTTACGTACCATAGGACTGTGGATAGAACCAACTTAAACTAGGAGCGCCTTCCACATTTGACAAGCCAGATGGGAGGAGAAAGGTCGACGGCCATCCAAACGGCTATCCTATATTTGCAGTTATAAATTATGACTTCTCATATTGGTGTCGTGATTCAGGTCTAGTTCTCAGCGACAAATGTGGTTTGGGTTCTTCAGGATCTGGAAAATCATTATCAGATCCGTGCGCAGGCGCCGAAAGCGACCTCGCGGTATACGCAAAACTTCCTACATACCAGAATCATGGTGAAAGGCTCGTTTCTTCACTTGTAACTCATTGTTTGACATTATGTTCCATTGTATGAAGCACTTAGTTCGCAAGACATCATGAGTGAAAAATGCGTTTCGTCGCTGCCTAGGTTGGATTCTATTTCATATTGTGCATACCAGTAGGTGCCCGCTTATGATGAGATTTCTACGCACTAGTAGGATTCAAGACTGGTTGAGTAATGTAAAAAGGAACACAAGTGAAAACACACTATCACGTATGCTAAAAGCAGTTACGTATGGCCACTACCTTACTCCGACCGGACTTTTCCCATTGTGAAGGATAAATCCTTTCTATAAAGCTAGTTCATGGAAAACGGATTCAGTTAGACAACCACCATCAATCCAAATAGCTTTTAATATCTCAGGGACCTTCAGTTGGTGGCATTCTGCGAAACATGTTGTGTTTGAACCCGTAATTCTTCCTAAGTAATGGTGTCACGCTTCACTGAACGTTAGTTGGCATCGGCGGACCGGTATACCTACTTACTTGTTGCGATTTAACGCGACACATCCCATGAAACCCCTTCCTTCTGTTCTTTGTAACTCAGCGCCTGCCATAGATTCCGTGTGCAACCATAAGATATTTGGCGACTTAACGGATAGAGCCGTATCCCTGCGATCCATGCTTGGCCCTTGTATGGCAGTGTCGTACACACTAGTGAAAAATAGGCTGTGTACGATCGTTCTTCACGATTAATCCATGCAAACTGCTGGCGTCACTTGTGATCAGTGGTTTAAACCACTAACTCCTAAGATGAAAGATATGGGTTTGAACGCGGCATAATTCGGCTAGTGAGCACCACTGTCTAGCTCCAACAGTTTTAATAAATCATGTAACGATCTTCTATGTATGTAACGATTAGCTGACTGAATCTAGCTGGACGAGATGCACTTTAACATATTTAGCAGCAAGGAATGCACGTAAATGTAATACCCCTGATGACTCTTCTCCATAACGTTTCCATCATCATCATCATCACCATTATAGACCCTAGCTAGAGGTTTAAAACACCTCGGCTATTGTGCCGCAGTACATAAAAGGAAAAGCATGGAACTACTGCAGTTTCATGCTAGCTGAGCTACCGGTAACGGATGAGCATCGTTCCGGAAAGCTACAAGCCAGCTACTAGGCAACAAAAAAATAATTCTGTAAAATTATAGTACGCTGCGAAAAAAGACCGAGATTGGAGGAGAGGCTAAAAGAGACGCGGAGAGACAAAGAAACTCACAGCTGGAACGCCAATGAGGTCGGCTCCTAGCCATGTCAACAAGTGTATCTATCCAAACGAGTTCATCGTCTTTCGGACCCCAACCAGGGAGCCGAGACGCTCCAACCGAGGCCAGCTCAGAAGTGAGGGCTTCATTCCTATCGACTAAGTCATCGCTTGGCCATCCCTCCTCTTCTTCCATCCACACCCCTGGCGAGCAAACAACGCACGTCGCGGAAGTCGGTGGCTGGATGCGCAACACGTGGCCGAGCCATCGGAGCCTGGTGCGTGAAATGACGGTGCTGAGCGGTTCATTTCCTTTTCCTATACCGTAAACAAGGCGTCGAACACGCTCGTTGCTCACGCGGTGTTCACACCAGATGTGAGCCAAATTGCGAAAGAACCGGTGGTCGAACGGAACTAGACTGTTTTTGTCCACTGGCCTAAGGGGCCAGGTTTCACAACCGTAAAGTAAGGTGAAACGTACCGCTGCATTGTACACTCTACCCTTCAGGGCGACAGTAATGTCGCGCCGCCGCCATAGGTGGCGAAGGTTAGTAAAAGCGCTTCGAGCTTTTGATATACCATTCGTGATCTAATGTTCAATCCCACGGGAGCTGATACAACTTCCCAGGTAGATGAAATTTTGTATGACTTCTAGCTGGTCCCTCACAAGGCTTAGCGCAGGAGGCGATCCCTGCCAATCTTGGAGGAACCCTTTGCATTTCGATGGTGTAAAGTAAAGCCCGAAGCGACTGACAGCCAATGATAATATGTCCAGTGGAGCTTGGCACTTCTGGAAGCTGTCACAGTTAAGGGAAATGTCCTCAGCCCACTCCAAGTCAAGAAGTCGTTCTCCTGGGAATAGCTCCGCACCTTCCAAGTCATGTCCTGTAAATGCAATCTCCGTGCCTTCGTCAATAGCGAAGTTGAAGAGGAAAGGTGACAGCGGACACCCTTGTTTCACACCGCTGGAGATATGGAAGGGTGGCGACAGTTTGCCGTAAGCCCTCACTCTGCCCGTGTTACGCGCGTATAATGCTCGGATAATATTTACATATTTCTCTAGCACATCGTTCCTAAGTAGACAGTTCCGAAGGGCACATCGATCAAGCGTATCGATGGCACCTTTGATGTCGAGGAACACGACTACGGTGAGCCGCCAATATGTGTGACGGTGTTCCGTCAACTGAGGCAAGGGGAAGATGTGGTCAATGCAGCCACGTCCTCGAGAAAACCTGCCTTGCTCCTCACGAATCTGACGTCCACGAGCTCCAGTCAGTCTGTGAAGGTGACAGAGGCGAGTAATTTGGAGGCGATGGGGATCAGACTGATTCCTTTATGGTTGCCGCATTCCGAACGCAAGCGTCCTTTGAAGATGGGGACAATAAAGGAGCGGCTCCAGTCAGTTGGGACAGTTTCATGCTCCCACAGTCGCACTAGTAATTCATGAAAACCACCAACAAGAGCAGAGTTTCCGAATTTGAAGAGAGCTGGAGGAAGATCATCTGATCCAGCGGTTTTGTTCAAATTCAACAGTCCAATCTCAAGTGTGACTTCTGCGCGAGCGGGCGGATTCAAATGGACGACCCAAGGAGCCGGGTGATCATTTGTCGGTGAGGAATCGAACAATTCCGACCGACTAAATTGCGTTTCAAAATACTCCGCCCAACGCTTCAAACGTTTTGACAAATTGTGGAAAGGCTGTCCATTCTCATCACAAATTGTCTTACCAACACCAGGTCTCCTGCTGCCCGTTTCCCGTATCAGCCGGAATAACTTACCACGGGCAGCGGCTATTTGCATATCTGAAGCACAATAAGACCAACAATATTCGCGGTCTCTCTTCAGACTAGCACTGAGTTTCTCCCGGAGTTCTCTGCGAGTTTCATTGTGTTCGCTTCCAGCCGGAATATGCCGGCGAGCGTCGATAAGTCCCAGAGACTGCGAATAGGCCCAATGTCCATTTTGGCGATTAGACATACCGCATGAGGATTTTCCTGCTTCTAGCATGGTTTGGTGAATATGAGACCAGTGAGCTTTTACCCAACTCGCATAACAGTGTACTATGATAGGTATTCAGAACAGCTGTTTTCACCAGTTGACTGGTGTCACTGCCGTCACAACGTCGTCGTGGGGGTCCGCCAAAGCGCATCCGCATGTCCGCACATACAAGTGCATGATCTGTGTCTACACATGCGCTCCAAATCAAGCGACAGTTTTGCATGGATCCTCTGCAGCGGTAACTGATTGCAACGTGATCGATTCGCGTCCAAAGCTGGTTCGAGGCTGGTGAGCGCCAAGTCACGCTCCAGCGAGTGCTGTGTCGGAAGTTAGTGCTCGCAAAAAGTAGGCGGGCATCTTCACACACATGAAGTAACCGCTCACCGTTCTCATTACAGGAGCCCACACTGTGCTGACCGCCTACATGCATTTCATCAGTGGACAACTTTCCAACTTGTGCGCTCGGATCCCCAGCCAGCACAACAGTGTCCGTGCTTCTTCTGTTGCGAAGGTGCTGGGTGAGTTGGCGGTAGAAGTCGTCTTTTACCGAATTTTTGCTACAGTTTGTGGGCGCGAAGGCAGCGATGATGAATAGACACCTATTAGTCCCGCGCGACTTCGAAGCTTTAAACAAGCCAACGAAGCGGACCGCACACATCCGGCTACTGATTGGAATCCAACCAGCTGCCCTCCCGGACCATGTAATTAATGCACCCACCCTATCCCTTTTCAAAAAACGCCTTGGCGATACTCTGTCGCATTTACACTACGTGCTGTAGCCCATGACCACCAGGTGCTGGCATTAATGCACAACAGACAATGGATAGTGCCATAACCCTACTCGAGAATGATTTACTCCAAACGCCTTGCACGCAATTGGATAAATGCTACTACTATAGAAACTGGAATTCTGTATCCTGTCGAACCAAGATAGTTGCACACGAGTAAGCGTTGTCCTTGCTATCTTTTTTATTTTTCTCGCCCATTATGCGATCCATACCCACGCCCCTATTGCTTTGTGTGCGTACATTCTCATTTCAAACGCCCCTTATACGACAGTGCAGTTGCATCTGTAAGCGCCCGAACTGACGACTCCATTATTCCTTCTCTATCATTTTGTGTCACGGTAAACACCCTACGGGACATGTCAAGCACCTGCTTTTTTACTCGTTATAAATCATTGTTTATTGTTCATTGAACCAGAGCAGTTTCAGCCCCAGGACTCAGGACAATGCCAACACCAGCTTGGTCGGAGCTCGAAGCTATATTGTCACCGGATAGGCGCAAGGAGAAAATACTGCTGGTGTCACCTGAAGGGAATCGCGGAGTGAGCACAGAGCTCGAGTCTTGTAGGTGGGTCTCCGATAAGCAGGAGATATCGATCGAGAGGGTCTACTGCTCTGGCAAATGCTGCCTGTTGCCCGATCCGTAGTAATGTGCGTACATTGAAGCATGCCAATCTGAAGGGGATCGAGGGCTCCAAATGGAAGTCGACGGACTGGGGGGGGGGAACGCTTGGTTAGACATGGGCTTGTCGACAGGACATGAGTGACCTTCCGTGTTAGCATGGGAGCTGAACCTAGAAAATAAACGCCTAGTAAAGCATATTGGGGGAGGGTCAAGAATCTGGAAGTTGAAAACAAGGTTTAAAAGCGAAGCTGGACAATAAGGGAGAAAAGCGTAAGAGGGGGAATAGGAAGACGGGAACTCTTGAGCAGTAGCATCCAAACCCCTGTCCACCCTGCTCGATGCAGCAGATAGGGCACCGTTGATTATCCTCTGCGGTGGCCAGAGCATCAGGAAATTGTTTGAGATAAGCTTCGTTGTATTGCCTAGGTAGGATACTGTCAGGTTGCCCAGGCCTAGACGGGAGAACGATTAGGGTTCTCAACCAAAGGCTTTGGTTGAAAAATCTGACCGCAAGGCATTAGGTTTGGCGTTGGGCTACAAGGAGTCCGTTTTAAGGATTAAAGTGTCACCCTCATTCCCACCCCCAACCTGGAGGACCAGGAGGCTGAGTTTGCCTGGCCTCTAACCATTGATCATTCTGATATGAGTGGCTCTAAGGGTGCAAAATGCACCACGCAGCATAACTCAATGGATCACTGAGTCACACAAACCATCGCACCACGGTAAGGTCCAGCCTCAAAGCGATGGCGTTTCCGGCATAGGAGCAAAGCCATATTATTCAGGACCTTATACTGCACTTTCACAGATCAACAAAGCGTCACATGCAACAGGTTACACGCACGACGAAGTAACTCCTCCAGTAGCAGACGTTCGTACGCTTGCATCGTATGAACGAAAATCGTTAACTGAGTACATCTGTGATAGTGAAAAAATAGACGCATAGGTTCAATGCCTTCTGATTTTTCACTGGATGGAGGTTCGTGTACGGATGGGGAAGTTGTGTTCGTGCTTGCTTGGAGGACAACCACAAGTTTATTTTTCACAGACTTGCATGCTACAAGCGTGCAGAGGAGAGCGTGGCCTCACTAAGTCTATGAATAGTGTGCGGTGTTTTATCACATCCAATAACTCGATCGCGTAGATCTTTACCGTTCCTCGCAGCCCAGTGGCATTAATCATCGAGTGGTAACATTCGGATTGGCGGTTCTGGCCCCACAGGAACCATATGAAATGCACACTACTGACGAGTCCTGTAAAGACGAAACGGCCGAACGGTACCTTCCCAGAAGTGTGATATCTATTCAAGTAAGTCTTCCTGCGATGAACCGTTATGTATGCCATTCAAATTCCCCGAATTTTCACGATTACTCTCAAGTTATCACACATTTTCATGCGGTTTAGACGGAAGTACATAGATATATCGAAAACTGATAAAACTCGTCGCTATACTTTCTTTGAATGTAACCCACTGCGCACAAGCACACACGAACATCTCATAAGCTTACCCACCTTCTCGGCTACCAAACAGAGTATAGCGGAGGGATTTTCACAAAAATTTTGTCTTCATGGTGGGTGAAATCGGAAATTAAATAATAGCTTATTCACTGGCACACTGATGGCGATCCTATACTATTTCAAGCTGCTGTTTGCGGATACTGTGGTCAAGGTGAGCAGCCGAAAAATGATTGTGTACACACTGGCTTGCTTACAACCTCGTTGACGAATGATTCGGGTGAACAAATGGTGTTTTGTGCATTTTCATCAATAGCCCGTCAGAGCAGCTGACAATGGATCGTGTCATGTCAAGCGTGTCAGTTGGTTTGGTGTTCAGCTTATGCAGTGAAGTAAATTGTTGTCTTTTCGGATTCGAGCAACAGGTATACACGACAAGTTAGCTACCAGAAACTTACCTGCAGTAAATCTGCATTTATTGCCACGCTGATTGGGCCTTTTTGTTCTAGCCAAGCAGCTAATTTTCTCTCATTCCTTGGCAGGTTTATGGTTCCATTCACATACGCGACAAATTGATACCGATCCATGTGGCATTTGCCTCTCCAGGGATGGTACGAGTAGGTTGCATCCGATTCCAATCCTCCCATCGACATTACCGATCTGAATGCGCTGGACATCCAGCCCCCATTGCACCCACTATCTGTGCGATCACAGTCGACTAATTGCTGATGATAAACAAATGACACGATTCTTAAATGACAGTGTCACGATTTTCTGTGAGAAATACATGAACAGCCACTAAAAATAAATATGTTTTGGGCAGGATATAGATGCAAACTCTTTACAGGTAGTGAATATTCAAATACTTAAAAAGGGTGCACCTTTGGTCAACTGCAAAGGTCTGTTCAGCTTAGGAAGTGATAAATACTTTCTGCTATACTTAAATGCGCAACTGCGACGTGTCCGAAAATAGCCAGGTTGCAATACACACTTAGGTTCTACCACAGGACTGCCCGCTTGGGTTCTCCATTAAACTGGATAATATCAAGATTGTTTATGTGCTCAGTTGCCACTGAGTCTTCCAGTTATTGATGAGTTCGCTTTTGAGATTCCACGAGAATCGCAGACAGGAAACCGCGTTTTTTTCGTTAGCAGCAAACTCCAACCATAAGAACAGCCGTAGTTAGAAGTAGTAGCTTGTCAGTTGAAGGTAGTCACGCTACCAACAATTGCTCGCAGTACGATTCTCCACTCTAAAGGCATCCAGCAGCAGAAATACTTCAGTTTCGTTTCCTCTGGTAACACAGTTTCACCACTAACCCTGACGGTTATTGCGTGCATTTGCAGCGCATTATGTGTTGCACTCAACAAGCAGCGTTGTTTTTCACGGCAAATTCCTGATCCGGCATTGATCTTACTCGTAGAAAAGAGTTGTTCTTCCTAATAATGCCCAAATCACCACCGTTTTATCGGCCCACAGCTGAACTTAATTATTGACTGAGCACATGTAACATCTGTATTGCAATTGGTGTGCATCTTTTGAGTGTTTGCTGAGTAGATGCATGCTTGTCAACGTTAGTCTGACTACATTCTTTAGGAATGCCATGGTTAACTTCGAATACAAGACAATAACATGGTTTGGTCAAATCGCTTCTAAAGTCCCCGAAACGCATTTCTCTACTTGAAGCCTAGGATTTGTTTCGCATTATCCTGAAAACCGGACAAAATCACTCGAATAACCTTCTGGATCAGGTGCTCATTTGGGCTCCCAACATGGGGACCGTGGTACGGCCTGGTTGCCCAAATTGACGATTACCTTAACTCCTGTATTGCTACCTCGACTGATTCATGTTCTTTCGGCTACACCTATCACAGAGGAAAGGAAAGAAGTAGTTGTCTAAATTAAGGCATTAAATAATGATAATGATCAGCAAATGTATGCACATGGTTTAGATCTCCTTCAGTAAAAGTAATAGGTCTTCGCATGGAGAGAAAGCTCTACTACGAAAGCAGCTGGTGACGTGGGAACATGCGTTTTCCACATCCAGATGAATCAAATTTGACACCCGCGAAAGCTTATTTGCGCAAGGACTATAGGGAGGATACAGAGGTGCTTTCTGATGAGACGTTAAAATTGGCAAAAATGCTTTTCTCCTAAAGTTTGTCCAAGTTGAAAATTTCTTATTGCTCTGCGCTTCATTGAGCTTTCCTTAGCTCAGGGCAAATGCGCCGTACATGTATACACAACATCAGAGAACATGCCTCGTCGCTCATTTTCAGAATCTGGCTGATGGAGAAATGGAAACCAATTCGAATTTTTCAGCTAATTCATGATCGCCACTCCCAATCAGCAGGCTTAGGCTAGTCTGGAAAACCACCAGACGCCGGAGTTTTGACCTACTTGGTCTCGTCAGTGGTGCTCCTCCCAGCGGACCCCTGCCGGGTTCCGCCCCCATGACTTTAGGATGCCAGCAGCTAGTGCCACTTCGCCATGGGTAACAGCAGCGGACCTGGGTGATTGATAGTTGACTATGATATAGCCCCGCTCATCTTCCACTGCCATGCCAGTTTCTAAATGTGCAGAGGATAATGGCTAGCCTCAGGAGATAGGACATTCCACATAGCGTCTGTGTACCACGTAGGAGTTAGAAACTATATGGACATCTTTTATAGTACTGCTGAGTAGTAGTGAGGATTTTGGTATAATTCAGCTTACTCATCATCGCCACTCCCAATCAGCATGCTTAGGCTAGTCTGGAAAAGCACCAGAAGCCGGCGTTTCGAACTTATGCGTATCGTCAGTGGTGTGCCCTGCAGGGGTCCACTGGGAGGCGCACCACAGAAGAGACCCATAAGGTCGAAACGCCGGCGTTCGGTGCTTTTCCAGACTAGCCTAAGCCTGCTGATTGGGAGTGGCGATGATGAATTAGCTGAATTATGCCAAAATCCTCATTACTCATCAGTACAATTCGAATTGGTGTATTCCACAACACAAATGATAAAGTAACAAAGTAGCGAACATTCAGTCCACAGTGCAGCTGCGAAAGCCAATTACGCTACACAGTTAAATATACTTAGTGACGTACACGACTGTCTAGTGAGAAGTAATCCTGTTGTGGAACCCAACGATTCGGTCCTTTTGAGTGGTAAGTAAATAGTAGCGCAGCAGCTGGCGCGCTGAGAGATACCCCATATCACTAAACTTGCTGTTTGAGCGTAGTGCGGTCTATGTGAGTGGCCGAAAAAATTGGGTGTCACTTGGGTCGCTTACAAATTCGATTATGAATGGTTCGATTGTTTCTTTAACAATCTTTATAGTGAGTCCATAGGAATGTAGACAACTTGCATTATTACCCGATTCGTTCCGGACAGTCATTTTGAACATAGCTGTCTCCTTGACTACAATCAGTTACAAGATGTTCACGGCCGCAGAGGCTTTACTACTGAATGGTATTCCATCATTCACATCTCCAAGTACAAGTCTCATAGCTGGCATAAGCCAGGGTGGAAAAGTGCGATAAACCCAAAGCCTGGAGCCACAACTAATTAAAAGGACACCTATATCGAATGCAGATTACAAGCAGCAACGCTGCACGTGTACAAAACACTCAGATGACAATGGTTGTGACGTTAACCCGCTGGTCTGCGTCATTCGATTCATGCTGGATTGCTACCAGCCAGTCAGCTAATCAACTGATACGAGCTCTCAATTCGCCCTAATCCTAATCCCTTCGCACATGAGTAAGAACTTTGAACAAAAAGGTTTGTGTTATAGAGATGCAGCTGATTGACTAACATTGCGAACAAAAGTTAATTGTCAGTGGTGCAAATGAGAAGATGTGAAGAATTGTATAAAACATTTGAAAATAAAATTTATGCCTTTCTACACTTATGTGCACAGTATGTGCAAAAGACCCAAAGTCGGACAGTGACGGTAGCTGAAGTGGATCATTACTGACCCACCGGCAGTCGTGCCTGTGCTTTGTGCGTGTATATGTGCTCGCGCATGTTCGCGCGTCTCATGACGACAAATACGTGACTGCATCAAGTGAACTATTGATCAAGTTAGTTGACGCCGCCAATCGCATCCTCAGGTTTCACTGACTTGCCGAGTTCATCGTAATCTCATAGTTTGTCCTTGCCTGAAACGCATTATCGAACGTGTTGTCTCGGTACATGGTTAGCAGTATGCGGTTCCGAATTTGCCTCTCACTGTGGGTAGAAGGGAATTCTTCTACCCCGCGAACTTTGGACTGCGCGCGGTAGATCAAAGAACGGCGGGCATTCAAAGTTAAAATTGGTGTACCACGGATTTCCGCTTAACGGCAAAGTATATGGGAAATTTTATGCCGTAACTGACCACTAAACATCCCGTTAAACCACGTAAATCAGATGCGGGACATTAAGTGTGAGCCTACGCAGTTGACAAAGGTCACGTAAGCAGTGTGGCAACTTGCTAATGTCTGAAGAGCGCGAAATGAAGGAAACGTAGCGCGCAAATAAATCTCGTAAGCAATGTTTCGCAAACTTGTGCCTTGGTGTTTCATCCTAACCTATATACTGATGTTCAAGAATGAATTTGGAATGCAATGAGGCATTCCAGTGGACCTGTAAGTGTATAACTATATTAAAATTTTAGATTCCGAATGTCATCCTTGCCCATTGGCCATGGAAAGTTTCATTGTATAGTTCCAATTTTAGTATAGGTACCACCGGGGCAAGTATGAAACGCTGCGCACCCAGGGTTCGAAACCCGGCCGCATGGCTGGCGTTCTGACACGCTAGCACTAGGCTACATTTGAGACATACCAGTTGTTTATATGTTAGCCGAAAGACCGTCCGTCAAAGCAACATCAAAGCAAAGATTGCAAAAATCAAACTTCCTCCACTTTAAAGTTTTATAGGCTAACGAAGCTGCATAACACGATTTCAGCATTTATTTCGCCAGTTTTTGCATAGGCTGGACGCTATAGGCGGTAAAAAAATTGTCCACTACTGTCACTGTGGCTTCCATAGGACAGCCACAGGGGGCCGGCGCCCACAGAGGGACAATGGGTGGCTTGTGCCGCACCACACACAGTTCCAGCTACACACCCCATATCCAGTATAAACCCGAAGGAATAAGACCAGGAGGCATGTGGATGTGAGCCACTTTGCATCGACGGAGGCGGCCCACACTCCTTCAACATGCACAGCAGTAGTAGTAGTAGTAGTAGTAGCAGCAGCAGCAGCAGCATTCTTGTCTATATATGTAGGGAATCATGTGTACCAGACGTACACAAGGCGGTAGGTGGGCCGTAGTCCGCTCCACAGTGGATGGAACCACTCTTGAGCTTAACACGGCTACGAGGACCGTGCACTCCATCCCCAAGCAAAGATTATCAGTCTCCTAGATCCAGTAATCGAGGTGGAGGATGTTAACCAGGTAGGCAACTTGTCAAGATTAACATCAAGTGCAGCCACACCGAGGATAACAAACAACCAAGGTAAAATTTAAGGGCAAATAAACACACAAAATTGACAAAAATTTGCAAAAGGGTAACAGAAGTGTGCAGACCAAATAAGGAGGAATGAATTGTATCCAGCTTAAAGAGGCCTATATTAAGTGCAAGTTGGTTTAGCCAAATCGCGGTGAAGAAGCATCAACAACGCAAAGCAAAGCAGATGGCACTCGGCCAAAGGAGTTGAAAGTTGCTGTCTTTCAACCATTTCTTAACGAGATGCGAATCCCTACAAAATGGAAGTACTGGATCATCAATCCAACCTACAAAAGTGGTTGCCGTGCAGAATTAGCAAATTATCGATTGATGGCACTACTTCCGGTGATCGACATGATCATGTAGTCCATTGTAACTGAGACGCTCATGGGGTACCTAGAGAGTGACAAAATTGTCGTTCGGCTGCAGCACGGACTCCGCCAAAATAGGTCATGTACTACTAATCTGTCGATAGCCCTTGCATGCTGAACAAAATCTGTGGATGCTGGTGCTGCTGTTGATACCGCCTAGCTGGATTTCTCAATGACATTCGACAGACTGAACCATTGCATTCCAGTGCCCAAGATTCATAGCTATGGAATCGGTGATCCCGTCCTACGCTGGATAGGGGACTTTCTCAGGTAAAGTCACCCGAATTTACAGTTTTGCAGCCCCCTATCCGAAACGGTCAAAGTCCAGTGCGTCGTAACTTAGGGCTTGCTAACTGGGCCCCGTCTGCTCCTGGTCTTCATAAATGATATCACGAGTGTACCATCTTCAAATTTCCTATGATTCGCTGATGCTCCAAACTTATATGGTGCTATCACCACTTTGGCGTATCACATGGCCATACAAGGTGAGCTGGATAAGGCATGCACATGATCACTAGAGTATATGCTCCAGTTCAGCGCGTTCAAGTACAAAGTAATGAGGCATACGTCATCAAAATACTCACAACTACCTGCTAGAGTCACAACTTCTCCAGTGGGCTGTGCACGAGTTTGACCTCAGCCTACTCATGCAAGATGACCATGGTAGTTTGTAGCAGAGAGAATGCAAATGGGCAATTTGGTCTCCTCCTTAGACGGTGCGGGGAAAACTGACGTCTCCTTACTTCTGAAAATGCTTGACGCTTACATCAGGCCGCTCGCGGAACGCGCTATTCACGGTTGATGGGTGCACGCGATCAGCGAAGGAAGCAGCTGATGTCCTACGGTTTCATTACTCCCGAACTTTCCAGAAGGTAACGAGCACAAATACTCTCCTCATTTCTACTACTCCACCAACTGGTTTAGAAAACATCACCTTCATTGCGGAAGCTGTGTTGAAGAAGTTGCGATACTTGCGTATCCACAGTTCTCCCAGAGCTGACAACATCCGACCAAAAGCTCTGCAGGCGGTAGCTAGTGATCTAGCAGAACCACTGGCTGTTTTCTATCAGCAATGTCTAGAAGCGAACCGTATTTCACCAGTATGGAAGCGAGGGGTCATCACTCCTATCCATAAAGGAGGTAGCCGCACTGATCCTGCCAACTACCGTCCAATAACACTACTTCCCGTACTATCCAAAGTGATGGAATCAATCATCGCAGACGCGCTGATGCAATACCTGGAAAGCCACAATTTAATAGCCCCAGAGCAACATGGCTTTCGTCAAAAGCATTCGTGTAATACTAACCTATTAATTGCACGTAATAGCTGGACTGAAGCTGTTGATGATGGAGTAGGAGTCGATGTCATCTACCTGGACTTTTCAAAAGCGTTTGCTCGTTTAGACCATCGAGTTCTCCTTCAGAAGCTTCGGAACTACGGCATTGGCGATCCAATCCTGAGTTGGATTAGCAACTTTCTACAAGAACGACGGCTAGTGGTGAGAGTCCGAGGATCATTTTCTGTTTTAATCGATGTGGCGTGTGGAGTACCACAAGGCTCGGTTCTTGGACCTCGTCTATTCTTGGTGTTTATTAACGATTTGGCGAGATCAATTACTTCCGGTTTCTTATTTTTCGCTGATGATATCAAGATATGGCGAAGGATCAGAGGACCGGATGACCATGAACGGATCCAGCACGATCATAACACAGTGTCGAACTGGTCAGTTCAAAACGCTCTACCGTTCAACGTAGACAAATGTCGCGTTGTACAATTACGCCATAGACATAGCCACACCTATTTACTTGGGACAAACGGATTGCAGAATAGCTCCCAGGCACGTGATCTTGGTGTGATCGTACAGTGTGACCTCAACTGTTCAAAAAAGACTGAGGTAGCTGCGAAAAGAGGCAAACAGCACGTTGGCATTCTGCGAAGGGCATTCAGGAGATTTGACCCATCAATCTTCCCAATGATGCACAATTCCTACGTGCGCCCGCATGTTGAATACGCTATACAAGCTTGGCAACCTTGGTTGAAGCTTGACCTAGAAGCGATAGGGGCACCACAAAGAAGGGCAACAAAGAATGTAAAGGGCATGCGCCATCACTCTTACCACCGAAGGCTGAAGTTACTGGGAGTTTTCAGCGGACGCTATCGAAGGCTGCGCGGCGATCTCATTTTGGCGTATGAGATATTGGGTGACCCCAACCACGTATGCCGCCATTTGCTGAAACTAAGCCACAACACACAGCTCAGAGGTAACTGCTTAAAATTGAAGGCACAATACAGCCGTCTAGAGTGTCGACGAAATTACTTTTCCCTTCGGGTTTGCCAGCCCTGGAACGCACTCTCAGACTCAGTTGTATCCTCTCCTACCTTGGATGTTTTCAAAAAACGATTAAATGTTGCTCTCAGCTCCCAACATTTTGTTACCTAAACTCCCCTACTGTGGATTACGCCAAGCATGTTTTCAACAGGATTTGTGTATCAAATGGACCTAAGTGCGTGACCACATTTTACTTTTATCACTCTGTACCTCAATGATCACTGCACCCCAGTGTAATTCTGAACGTTTACGATCGATAATTTATTTTAATTTTACACTGATGTTACTTATCAAACTATTCATCTCGGCAGAATTTCGATAGATGACCCAGACATATTTTGATTTCATCATATTCACCCCAACCATCCTACGGGAAGTGTCAAGCACTTGCTTTTATTCCGTGATAAATCATTGTTTATTGTTCATCTAAGCGTGGCAATGCTGGCAGTAGCGTCAGCTCACCGTGCTCGATACTGCGCAAGGCATGTCGACGAAAAACACCATATGATTGTCTCACTCTCCCTACCAGCCCAGGCTGAAAACCAGGAAAAGAACAATGTACGTTATCGGCGTCTGCGGGAAGATCAAACCGAAAAACAATTACGCTTGTCACCAACTTTTGAATTTTGGACAAAACAAGTCTCATAGTGTCCATCAGTACAAGTTTTCCATGCAGTAAAGCTGAATGGAATGTCGACGAACAAATTTCTCCATCCGAGTTTCACAGCCTTGAACACCCTCACAGTGCATGCAATTAGTACTCCCACCTTATCACTATTCAAAAGCATATTGAGGTTAGTCTGACACATTTACACTGCATGTTATAGCCCATGACTATCAGAACAGAACAGAACGGAACAGAAGCAGAACAAACAGTAATCGGTGTCATAATCCTCGTAAACATCAGACAGTAACACTCACACCTGTGTTAATCTTAAACTCTCAGTGAGTCATGTCTCTCGGGCGAAATATTACCAAATGTACTTTTTATCTTTTATGTTTCACCCTAACCATCCTAGGGGAATTGTAAAGCATTTATTTGTATACCCCTTTTAAACTGTTGCTCCAAAATCGGTGTAAGAAGAATTGTGGACGTAAATAACACGGCATAAAGACCTTAACTCATTTGTCGTGTAAATAATGGCTGAACCTGAATATTCAGCGACAAGATTTTACAATGTCGTCGAAAGCAAAAGTCATCAATCTGATATTTAATGGGCAAAACATAACAAAAAGCGTATACTATGCCCCAGTAAATCTCAAAAAGTGGCAAAATTCGACTGCGTTATACCAAAAGACAGAACGGAACTTGTATAATCCCTAATAGGCTGAAAATGTAGGCGTCCGTAACAGTACAGTTCAGTAGAGATGAAGCTGGCAAACTCCCAGGCGTTATCAGCATTTCGATCATAGATAGCTCACCCCACAGCCCACGTGGTAGATACAGTGGCTATCTTTCATAGTTATTATCAATAATAAAGTCTCTGTCTTGTGTACTTCTCACCTGTTCACTCAGTGACAGAAGCTCTCCTTTGTGCAAAAACCATTGGCTTTCAATGTTGGCAACGGTGGAGAAAGCCCAACAAGACCCACATTGGCCTTGATCTTTAACTCTGGTCACGGCTCCATGAGTGCGCCAGTCAAATTCTTCAGAATGAATTCCACCTTCGGGCACATCAGCGACGCCATTCGCCCATTCGAAAGACCATGAAGGTAAAGCATTCGCGTAGTGATATCGAAATTCCTGAACTAAAATGCGTTCGTTACTGACTTATCGAGTACGGTTGACTCACCTGTTAGATCAGAAAACTTTGTTACACCAAACTCCGCCTCTATCCGACCGGATCTGTCTAGCATTCTAGCTCGTCGAACATTTTCTTTAAACACCTCATATCTGAATTCTTCTTCCGCTGCAAAATAACATCACAATACCGCAGCAAAAGAACATACACACACCAGTGTAACGCTTATGGTATCGCTCCTTGAAACGTTCAAACAACTTGCGCTCATAAGTCAGTGCTGGAGTCTAAAAGAAGATGAACACGCTCAAAAGTTGTTAAAATTAGTCCAATGGGGATGGTGAATTTATTTCGCTGCGTCAGTTGTATGGTATATCCTACGGCTTACCTGTATGTTACTTCTGGATGCCTCAGCCAAAGAGACAATGTTACATGCATGAATGGACAAAATGACCGATAGAACAAGTTGCAGAGCTATCGTCATGATACACATGCTCTGTGTCCGTGACAACCACCGGTCTGCAAAGAGCACGCCTATGGTTTTCCGTGCGATGCGACATCAGTTATAGGAGTACATTGGTATTAGTGACTACAACAGTAAAAAAAAGCGGATGTTTATTCCCAGAGCTCGGTTTGTTGTGCACCACTGCGTTTGTTTATTAAACACTAAGTCTACTATAGGTCGAAGTGAACTCGACATTTGTCTGAAAATCACAGGTAGCCAAATAGGGCTGACGTTTCTCAAGTAGTAGTGGTTACCTGGTCATTTGCGAAAATACAGTGCATCTGTATCACTAAGCCACTGCACCGATTCATTCTGGTGGGTTTTTTTACCGGGTAAAGGAGTGACGCAAATACATGCCGCTAAAAATTGTTAGGCCCGGAGAGTAATTGAATACAGTGCGATGTGATTAGTAAAGTAGTTAAGGAAGTCTCTCTGACTTCTCCTGCCTTCGCTTAAATGTGTGGCATAGTGAGCTAGGCGTTAGTGGCGATGAAGTGACATCCCAGTTGCTGGCTCTTCGTTAGCTGTTCGTTAGCTATCGATGCAGCAAGCTACGTGGGCGAAGATTACTGGACCAGACGCACATCGACATTGGCCTAGTAGCCAACTCTGTCATGCGATGCACTGTGTCCAAAACGCTCACCACGCTTACTGGTTGTTCGTGTTGCGTTTGAAATGTATCAACGATCACCCCATACAGGATGCAAGAGCGTAGTAAACTAGACTTCTGGTTGTGAGACTACGAGGCGAAGGATCGCAACTAAGCGCACATTGTGGATATGGGAAGCTTGTGATCAGTCGATTTGATTGAAGGTTCTTCGTAGTAGCTCCAAGTCAGATGTTTCCCGCACATCCGAAAATACACTATACGTACGTTACGCCCTTCTTGGGCTTGTCAATAGCCCCAAGCCTTTAGCCCCATCAAGAGCCTAACTAATGACGTCTCGACGTCAGCTGCTTATGCGGCCATGGATGAGGTCAGTAGACCGCCATGACCTACGCGCTGACTGCGCTATCGCATCGACCGTTCTGAGCTGTTATGCAAGTTACGAAAATCACAGAGGACATGCCTGGCACTTGCAACTCCGGCCTGTCGTACCATCGTTTAAGCGAAAAGCAGTGTTGCCAGAGAATACGGGGATTGAGTATCTGCGATAATCTAAGTGGGACGCACGGATGTTTTACTTCCCTTCGTTCACTTATGCATTCAATGTATGACTTCATGGTCTCTATTGCCTTAACCTATTCTCCCATTACTTGCTTAACAGCTGGAACCGAGCACACGCCCGGTTGTTCCCAACCTTTGGAACTAGTGTCCATACTAATCCAAAAAATTTTCAGTTACGCCTCACCAGGAGAAGCATAGTCAAATGGATAGCGAGCTCACCCACACAGAGGTACCAACCTGCAGAGCTTAGCATGTCTGAGAGGTAGAAATGAGTCGTATGGTCACTTTTAGCGCAAGTAGATGGAATAATCCTCATGCTAGGGACTGAAATCTGAAATGAATTGGATATTTCCATGGGTGCTTCAACGCACTTCCCTACCACAACCGCTAGAATTCAGCGAATTCCCCTCCTACTGTCCCTACTAAAATGATCGGCTACGTTTACTGCGATCCGCTGCAATTGCACTGGACTGCGATTTTATAGCCTTCAATGTTTAGTTCATTTAAAGGGCTTAAAGCCGTGAGATCTTGAGAGCTAAAATTACTAACGGGACAAATATTCAAATATTCTGTATAAAGTTCAACAGTTCAGAAGATACAGTGATTTTATTGTTTCTTGAAGCTTGAAGGAAATACTGCAACCACTCCTTTCAAGAGAGAATTTCCCTTATTCTATATCTCCCTCAACTTGGCTAAACGGACGATTATACTCATCATCAAGTAGATTTGACGGTATCAGGAAAGCATACTTGTTACTAGGTCATAAATTTACCGAAATGTTGGACATATTTCATCAGTCAACCTGTTGCGAATAATTATCTTTAGTGACCTGACTGATAATAATATACTCCAAAAAGACATTGTTTGCAAATTCCTTGAAGGATGAACCACCCTGCTTGAGCCGTTTAATGCATGCATATCTCAGAGCTTTCGCGAGTATATTGCCTGATTTTACAAAGGCGGGATAAGGTTCTCAAACAGTTCTATTATGAAGCCACACCTTGATCTTTGCTACACAGCCTGTGAGGACACTTACGCAAGGATTCCGCAATCAGCTCCTCTCCATCGCCATCCGCCATTTGAAGCCGGAATGGTGTGTATAATGACGCTACACGCATCCCATACTATTACCTGGGCCAACGGACAACCTTACCTGCCGGTTTAGTTGTCAGCTGAGCCAATTACGTTGCATGGTCAAGATTTTTAATGTAGTACATTTCTCTTTCCTACTTGACCTATCACCTATAGCCTAACCCTAATCTATCGATTTACTTGTTCAAAATTCAACCCAAAATAAAATATGATCTACCTGTCAAACGACCCACCGCCATCCGTTCGTTTTTTTAACAGACTCGATGCTCCATGCTCAGAGCGGAATTTTTGGATTCCTACATTGCATTGTCCACCATCATTTCCCCGTTATGAAGAACGCAAATCCTTAGAGCTGGAAGCTTACCAGAAATTTGCATGTATATACAGCACGGCGACGAACTCACGGGTTAAAGCGAAATAAGGCCGAAAGGAAACTACGGTACTATAGAAATGGATGGCACATTCTATAAGGACAAAGCACACCAATACCCGATCATCACGGCAACAACTGGATCTTCACAACCGACTATGGGGTCACGGACCACTCAGTTCTGCAACCGGAGGTGAATACCTAACGGAGGGCGGATGAACAACCCTCCTAGATACCGGCTTCTGTGTGGACTGCTACCTAACACTAAGAAGGCAAATGAGCCACTTGGTTGTCAGCGGTCGTATTCTCGGCTGGTTTAACACTCCAATGGCACACCTTAATCGCAAAGAAGTGTGCTTCAACCCCTTCTCTTCCTAATCTGTATAAACACCACATGTAATTCTATGCAACACGGACAAGCATAATTGTTTGCGAATAACCTTAAACTCTTTTACTCATTCCCATTCAATAAACTCGAACTGGACCTTAGGGATATAGATGAGGGTTTACCCACACTAAATTTATGGAGTATTACTTGGTTCATAACCTTTCCTGCTGAAAAAGCACAAGTTCTTGTGAATGGGTGCTGCATGCCTGAAGGCTTCATCACCCTTGCAGGTAGAAACATTCCATGCTCCTCTTCGGTAAGAGACCTTGGGGTAATATACTCCACTTCCTTAAACTTTTCCCAGCATGTCTCGTACAAAAAGGAATGCGACTAAAATCCCACATCACTACCTAGTACTTTGATGCGCACTCCATGAGGATTCTAATTTGTTGGCACAATCCGGACCACCATCAGACTTGGATAAGTGTATGCGCTATGATAAGTAGATAGCAGACACGATGTGCGATGCCCTATTTAAGAACACGATATCGAAGTGTTGGAACCGGATATGCTCGACTGTTGGACGCATAATGAGTTAACGTGGCGCAGCCGTACCCATTAGGTTGATTTTCGCAAAAATCACCGGGAGTCTTCAAGTCAAGATCACCTTTCTGACGGTCAGCGTCCACACGCACCTTCCACTTGCAAAATGCTTTGCAATCCCATTGATTATGACACTATAATAGTAGCTGCATAACGTATGACAAAATTGTAAAATAAAGATGTGTAGCTTTTTAAACAATTAAAAACTGAAGGTGCGCGCAATATGTACCTTTTGTTAACCACGCGTGTGTGGTGTCCTCATTATAGCAAAATAGTCGGTAAGTCATCCCCGTCTGTATTGCTACCAATGAGGTCCAAGGAAAGAGGCAACATATGGACCGCTGTACGCACTACAGTGGCCTATAATGCCAAGCAGATTACTTCCTTTTGGGGGCCTGTAAGTACTTAACTCTACCATGACTTTAATGGTCTCCACAGTGACAGCAAACCTGAGAATCGCTCACCCTCAACCTCACGTGATCGAACAGTTCCAGTGTTCGGTTGCCACAACAGCTCGCATTGAAAGTGGTCCCACATAGCGGCAAATGCGGAGAATCGAAATGCACCAAGGTGGTCAGGACTGGTATAACCTGCTCAAACTCCGACTTCGGATTCCACGCTAAATGTGGTGGCATAAGTAGAGCAGCATTAAAGAGGCTTAAAAATGTGACCGATGCGCTCCGGTTTCGTCGCGTATGCAGCGCTATGAGGGCACAGCAATAAGTTTCCGGATACGCAATAACTAAATTAGGTGCAGATGACCTGACAAGAAATTGTAAACGATAATCCATTCTGAACATTGTTCAGTGATTTCAGCTCACAGAACCAAATACCAGCAGGCCAGCACAGCACACGTCATAAGTCACCATAATCTGTTAGTATGGAACTCAGTCGAAGTCACTAGATATTGACGGTTCTCCATGGCTAGAAATGTGGTTTAAAGAAGCACACGGGTGTCGCGCGATTGCGTACTACGTTTGATGATGATGCGCCTTCAAGGACCACCGCGTTTGGGTGGTTCGCGCAATTCAAGCCTAGTATGCGGTCCCTGGCTTATAAGGCACGGGCAGTCAAACTGTGGAGGCCGCCACCATGGACAACATTGCTGCTGTGCGAGCGATGATGGAGGAGGATGCGCAGATGACTATGGGACAATTGGGGAAAGTCATCTGAATCTCATCGGGATCAATTCGCCACCTCCTACCTTCTACCTCGGCCTTAGGTTTATGCAAGATGTTTACCCCAGCAGTTCCTTGTGTATCACAGAGCAGATCGCGTGCATCGGTTCTACATCATGCTTTGCAGCTTTAAGGGTGGAGGTACCAGTGCTGTTTGAAAGATCCACAGTAGTGGTTAGACTTGAGGGAACAGTTTAGACACAGGAACCAAGCAACAATCGGCTCAGTGGACGGCCACTGGTGAGGCGC